TACTGATCCATCATCATACATCACACACACACACACACACACACACACACATATATATATATATATATATATATATATATATATATATATATATATATATATATATATATATATATATATATATATATATATATATATATATATATATATATATATATATATATATATATATATATATATATATATATATATATATATATATATATATATATATATATATATATATATATATATATATATATATATATATATATATATATATATATATATATATATATATATATATATATATATATCACACAATCAATCAATCGAATTAATCACATTAGGCATCGGCAAAACATGCCTATTACACTCAACATACACCCAGTATCCTTGCACCATCTCTGTACATCCAACAGATCACAATCATCAACATCAGATGAACACAGCTCAAATAAAACAAAAATCCTGCTACGTTCGCTACCCTGCTCACTACGCGAGCTCCTAGCGAACTCTCGCTACACGTTCGCCTAGAGAACCTACTCGCGAATCACACTTCTGAGCTACTGGAAGTGTTCGCTACCACCTCGCTGGGACTTCGCCTCGCGAATCCTTCGCTACACCACTCGCCTAACGAACCTGCTAGCGAGTACAGAAAAATGGCCACTGGAATGGCTCGCGACCTAGCTCTCCTAGCGAGCACCTAGCAAATGCTCGCTACTCACTCGCCTAGCGAACCTACTAGCGAGTGTCTGCGATTTCAGAAAAACCCCACTGTGCAGAATCTCAATAGCAGCTCAAAACCCAACAATTCTCTCTAGATCAGTACCAACAACCTCAACTTAGCATTCTACATAAATTTTACCCGACTAATTCTAAAATCATCTGATAAAACATCAGCTTCTGTCGATTAATCCACTTTTGGCTTAAAACCTTAATCTACTCCGAAATACCCAATTCACCCAAACAATCATCAAACATTACATGCAATGGTTCCACCATGACAACAAAAATCAGAAACTTACTCAACCACATGCAATCATCATCATGCAATTCATCATCATCAAAACCTATGGGATTAAGGACTCCCCAACTACCCTTATTCATGCATTACCAATTTCCCATCTATTTTCTCCCCCTTACCTCAAATGCAGCTTTGATTGCCCAAGAACTTCCAAAATCTGATGACTTTGATCTTCTTCTTCCTCTTGCTCAAGCTTTGCTCTCCTTCACCGTGCTCACTCTTGATCGCTTCTACCGTGTTCTTCTCTTCTCCCTATTTCCAAATTACCACTTATGCCCTTAATTCCAAATAAACAATTCTCACTTTGTTTTATTCCAAAACAATTCCAAACTAATAATCCTCATAATATTAATAACCATAAAAATAATAATAATAATAATAATAATAATAATAATAATAATAATATTAACATTATTATTAATTAATTAATTATTATCATTATCATTTATAATATATTAATATTAAAGGCCACGACTTCTCAAATAATTAAAATGGGCGTTACACTAATACCTTCCCTTAGTATAACCAACCCCCGATCTCTTAGCTTTGTTGTTATGTAGCGCAGTTAGGGTTTTCTTCGACCTTTACTCTTTCCTTTGGATAAATCAAAGCTCGGTGGTGAACTTAAAAATTTATGGTTCAAGTTAACCAATAGCTTGATATCTGATTCTCACTACAACACAGGCCAAAAACAATTACATCAAAACAGGCTCGTAGGCCAAGAGAAAAAAAAACAAGAAAGAAGAGCTAGGTAGCTACATCCTCCTCGGGTTGGTCACCCACCACGGCTTCGCCACCATCCTCGTCTTCAACTTCAGGCGCGACCGCACGACCCTCGACCACCTGGTGATAAGGCCTTACCCCCTCGGTGACCAGCTGGACATCAGGGTTCATGAGTTGGAGCTGCTCCACAACCCACCTCGAGAGCCCCCAAGCAATCCTGCTTGAGCTTTCAGATCTTCAACACCAAGTCAATTCGAGATGCCAAGAACTTCTCTTCTACGGACTCGTCCTCAGCAGGCTTTGCAGCTTCCTCCAACTCAGCAATCCTTGCCAAGAGCCTTGTCCTCTCCTTATCGGCAGCCTTCACCTTTGTCTCCATCTCGCCATAGAGCTTGACCTAGACTGCATTCTTCTCCTTGCACTCGTCGAGGTCAGTCGCCAGCTTGTTTCTCTTAGCCTCGATGGTCGGAGGTCATTCTGCAGCTTTGTCAGGTCAGCCGAGGGGCAAGTCTCATTGTTGAGGACCAAAGTTGTTTCCTCTTCGCCTTTCGATCACCCAAGATGGCCTTGGACTCAGCAGCACTCACGGTCAGGAAGTTGCCCCCACAGAAGAAATTAGGCTGGAGATAACAGGGTGGGAGCATGGACTTCTCCCCAGACACACTCCCTGTGAGTTCGACAGCCTCGGGCTCGTCGACACGCTGTCTCTTGAGAATCCCCTGCGATGTTGGAGATTGGCTACACTGGGGGGAAGAGGACGAGCCTCCGGGTATCAGGTCGAGGCCTGACATCTGTTGAACTTGAGCGACTTGCCCCTTGCTAGCCTTCTTCCCACCTTTGGTGGCCGCCAGCTTCTTCACGCGTTCTTTCAAGCTCGACCAACGATAGAAAAATAGATGGAACCTGAATGAAGGGGGGTGCCCGCAACCTAAGAACCGTAAGGCTTCCTCGTCGGACGCAAACTCGAGAAGGGCCTTCGTGTTTATCAATTGTGGCTCACGAAGAACCTCCTCGCAGGCGTCGAGGATAAAATTCTCGTCCGCAGTAACACATTTTACAAGGGTGAAGTCGAAGACAAACTCGACCAGCTTCTGGTAAGCCAGCCGGTCATTAGCATCCAACGAGCCAGGCCTGGCTATATAATTATCCGTGCCCCTTTTGAAATGCTCCTCCGTTGATTCCAATGGAAAATTCGATTGTAATACCTCCTCCCTCTGCCCGTTTTCCTCCTTGACCACGAGGTCATACAACGAGTCGACGACCACGTGGATGATGGGCTTGACAATGAAGTACCAGTCTTTGAAAGTACGAACAAAGTCTAGGTACACCTGAAATAGTTTCCTCAGCTGCTTCAGGGACACCCAACTGTTCCGCCCCTCGAACGTCTGTCATTGCAGGTGGAAGATGCGAAAGAAGAGAGGTAACATGGTCCCGACATTGAGGTACCGGAATACGAGCTCGTACACTCGCACGAATGCGGTCGCGTTGGGATAGAGCTGTGAAGGCGCCAAGCGCAACCAATCTAATACTCCCCACTGGAAGTCACTGAAGGGCAGACGTAGGCTCGCTTCCCAAGAAGCGAATTCGTACATGGGAAACCTCGTCCCTTTGAAACACGAGCATATATGATGGTGTTCTCGGGGTTTGTAAACCTTCCAGTTCAGGGATAAGCCCTCACAACGATCCTCGATAGTAGCGTAAGCATCTGAGTCATCCTCGAAAAAGCGTGTAGGGATGCTTGGGGGCACCTTCCCGGCCCAATCTTTGGCAGTCCGCTTTCAGACCTCTCTGGCCTGCACAACCGGGGAATCAGACTCATCATCAATCTCGATGACCCCCTCGATCCTTGCAGCCATTTTTACCTGAAAAGCAAAGGAAAACCGTGAATTCGACATTCAAGATCAAATCCACTCTTCCACCGCAAATCAAGTGAAAAGGCGAAGAAATGGGCACAGAGCCACCAGACAGGGCTCCCCGACCGAAAACACCTAACTAGGGTTCTCATATAGAGGAAGTTCCTCTTTGACTACGAGACCCCACCCGACCATAGGAACCTCCTGGACGGGGATTAAGTCACCACGTTAATGAGAGGACGAGGACATGACCCCCAAGACCTTCATCACAGATCCTCAGGACCTTCATTAGGTCCTCGGGGCCTTCATTCCAGGTCCTCGGGACCTTCATCAGGTCCTCGAGGCCTTCATCTTATGTCCTCGGGGCATTCATCACAGGCCCCCGAGGCCTTCATCGGAAACTTCATAAATTTGAAGAAGTTTCGACGTATTCGCCAAAAACTTCATAGTTTCCCCGAGAACTCATCAATTCACTGGAGAAACCACCAGAAAATGCATAAAACTAAAATAATGAATCCAAAAACTTACTTGGACAC